CCCCCAGAGGGGTTTGGGGATCCAGGTGCACGATTCCCCCCAGAGGGTTTTGGGGTCCCAGTGCATGGTGCACCCCCTGGAGGGGCTTGGGGGCCCCAGTTCACGATTTCCCACGGGGGGGTTCAGATATCCCAGTGCACGGTGCTGCCCCGGAGGGGTTCAGGGGTGTCGGTGCACAGTTCTCCCCTGCAGAGGTTCGGAGTTCCCGATGCACGGACCGTTCATCCACGGGAGGGTTCGGGAGTACCGGTTCCCACTTCATCCCCAGAGGGGGTCGGGGGTCCGGGTCCCGGTGCCCCCCGGGGGGGTTCGGGGGTCCCGGTCCCACGTGCTCGCCCGGCGTGGCCCCGCCCCTCCCCGCCGGCCCCGCCCCCGCCGCGCACGAGCCGGGGAAGGGGCGTGGCATCCGCACGGGCTCGCGCCGCGGCGGGGCGGGACGCACCGGCAGGCGAGTGACGTCACCTCCCCGGCTACTGCGGCGGCGGCCGGGCTGGATCTGGCGGTTCTCCGCGGGCGGCCCCGGAGCGGCGGCGTGGGCGGGCGGGCGGCGGGGTTGTTTCTCGGCGCCGCCGCCTCCCCCATCCCCGGCCCCCCGCAGCAGCCGCGTCCCCGGGCGGGGCGAGACCGGCGGGGCCGCCCCCGGGGCCGGGCTCCTCGCACAAAGCCGTGAGTGCCGCGGGGACCGCACCGGCACCGCCCCGATGTGAGCGGGGCATGGCCGCGGGGCATGGCCCGGGGCGGGCGGCGGCGGGCGCGCAGCGCCGCCGGTGAACATGGAGCCGCGTCCGCCGGGCACCGAGCCCCCGCTGCCCCGGGGGCCGGGACCGGGGCCCGAGCTGGAGCCGGAGCTGGAGCTGGACTTGGAGCCGGAGCTGGACGTGGACCCGGAGCCGGAGCTGGAGCTGGAACGGGAGCTGGACCTTTGGGCACTTGAGCCCGCCGGTCCCGACCCGGGGCCGCCGCCCTGGTCCCCGGGGGTGACCGGGGGCAGCCCGGCCCCGGGGGGCCCCGCCGAGCCCCCGCCGGAGGAGGAGCCGCGCCTCCGGCCCGTCTTCGACGCCCTGGACCGCGACGGCGACGGCTTCGTGCGGGTGGAGGAGTTCGTGCAGTTCGCCACGGCCTACGGGGCCGAGCAGGTGAGCCCCGGGCCGCGACCACCCGGGCACGGCGCACACCTGCCCCCGGCGGCCCCCGGGCCGGGCCCTGCGCTGGCATCGCCCATCGCGGCCACCGTGCCGGGGCTCCGCTGGTCCCGCCGCTGACCGTGACGGGGGCTCGTGTCCGTGGCTCCGGCCCTTGGAGGAGCCTTTAATGTCCGCAAGGGCATCGTCTGCGCCGCCCGCCCCGGTGCCGTCGCAGGTGAAGGGCACGCGTGGGCCCGAATGGCTCCCTCTGTGCCTCCTGCATCCAGGAGAAACTGCAGCTCCTGTTTTCCAGGTCCCGGTCCGCTGGGAACAGCATCCCGGCAGTGCCGCTGGGAGCTGCATCCCCCCTTTGTTCTCCATCATTAACGCGTTTGGATTTGTCTGGGCAGTGGTGAGATCCCGGGATCTGGGGCTGCCCCGTGCCCCCCTCAGTGCAAGGGTCCCCTGTTGGCACTGCGCTGGTTGTGGATCACTTCGATAATACCTTATGGGTGGCATCCCTGCTCACGGCAGGGTGTTGAAATTAGATGGTCTTTAAGGTCCCTTCCAGCCCAGACTGTTCCGTGATTCTATGCTGCCTCGCTTATTCCAGCTTTGACAGCTTGAATGTGTATTTTCCCCCCTCTTTCTTCTGCTTTGTACCCCGGCGAGCTTGTGTTTCCCTGCAGCAGATGAGATGCAATGTAATTTGAAGCTGCCTGGTATGACCCAAAATGGAGCGAGCTCTGGCAGCACACCTTGGGATGGAGATGGGTTTGTTGGTATTTTATTCATTGCCCTGTGCTGGCATCGCTACCAGGAAAAAGGGATTTATTTTTTTTAAGGCGTGCAGGTATTGCTGTGAAGTTTCTCTGTGCGTGGCCGGATCTGCTCTCATCCTCCAGCCGTGGCTTCTGCGCGTGTATTTAAGTGCCATGACAAAGCAAATCATGTGTGAAGGAGGGTTTTGCTGGAGGAGGGCTTTTTATCTCGTGCTAAAAACACCTCTTAAAGATAAAACGGAGGTATTTATTTCAGGAAATAGCTCTGTAAAGCGGAGATAGACAACTTCTTTGTCGGTGAGGGCACTGTGTATGCGGAAGATATTGCTGGCAGACCCATGGCGTGATTACAGGTTCTTTGGGGGGAGTTCCAGGAGCACCTCGGCTGCTCCTGCCTCTGCCAGGTGAGAGAGGGTTTGTGCTGGACAAAGCCCCATCCTGCTGTGCCCAGGCGCTCCGTGCCTGCTGTCCCGGTTGCTGTTCCAGCACGGGAAGCAGAAGCAGCCGGTCCGTGCTCGGCGGAGGCTCCCGGACCCTGCGCGCAGTGCCCGTGGCTCCGGGGCACGTTGGCATCTTACCAGGGCACCGTTCACCGCCCTGTGCCTCTGCACTTGGTGTGGAGAGCCCAAGGACGTGGGGAATGGGGGCACAGACGGCGTGTGCGTGGCAGGGGACACAGCAGGGGACACGGCAGGTGGCTCTGGTGCTGTCGGTGCCGGTGGCGTGTGCGGCTCAGAGCCCGGTGGGAATTGTGCCAGAGCTCCAGAGGTGCCACACTGAGCCTGTAAAACGCTCTGAGATCGTGGCCTGAGGAGTGACTGCGAGGTGTTAATGTCACTCCTGAACTAAGCAGGATGTGCAGGGAGGCGTTGTGCCGCTGGGAGCTCTGTCCGTGTGGAGCCAGCTGGGGAGGGCTGTCTGCAGGCTCCTGGCCTTGGCTGTCCCTTTAAAGTTGCTTGTTCCTTCCCCCCGAGCGCAGCTACCGGTAATGCTGAAACATATTACGCTTTTTTAACACCTTTCTCTTCAGCAAGAGACCGGCACAGCCAGCTCTTGGGGTGCAGAACAACTGAGCCTCAGCACAGCAAGTGCTGAGCACCTTGGGGAGGCTGATGTGACAACAGCTGAGCCAGCAGGTACTAAGCACCCTAGGGGGCTGTTGCAAAGGCTTGGCAAAACAGGAAAAGTGATGTTTGTGGTGAACTGTGTGTTCCAGAAGACTTGGTGTGAGTTTGCAGCTTAGAAAACCATGAGGAGACACAGAGGGAGAAGGAGGAGGGGGTTGGTGATGGGGTCTGTAAGCTCCCAGCAGATAAAGGAATATCCTGAGTCAGAAGGGACCCACGGGGATCATCCAGCTCCTGGCCCTGCACAGACACCCCAACAATCCCACCATGTGCCTGAGAGCGTTGTCCAAACACTCCCTGAGCTCTGGCAGCCTTGGGGCTGTGCCCACTGCCCTGGGGAGCCTGGTCAGTGCCCAACCACCCTCTGGGGGAAGAACCTTTTCCTGAGATCCAACCTAAACCTCCTCTAATGTGCAGAGTAATAAAGGGAGGAGTTCTGGGGAGGTTTCTTGGCTTATTTTGTTTGAAGCAGCTGTAACTTGGGCCCAAAAGGGGTCTTTTGGAAAATGGAGTTCCAGCTCAGGTAAAAGTTAGAGGGGAAGAATATCACCAGTGGGTAAAATGGTGTTAAAGTTACTAAAGAGGAACTTCAAGGTATGAAGGTTGTACTACAACTGGAACTGGGATGCTTGTAAGAGAGGGGCCAGGGTTTTGATGGCTGACTGGATAATCACAAAAGTATCTGTAGGGATCAGCAGGGAGTTAATGAGGCACAAATTCCAATCCTCTTGCTGTCCCTCTCCTGACGGGAGGAGGAGGTGGTACCTGCCTCCTTTTCTTCTCCCCTCCTTCCTGGCTGCTGCCCCCAGGGTGGGTTCATGGAAGGTGTGTGTGGTGGAAAAAAAGGCTAAATTGAAGCACAAGGAGTCGTCACATCCAGATGATTCCTGAGGGCTGGAGAGGGCTGAAGGGTTAAGGAGAGCATGTGTGTGTGTAACCACACGGATGAGGAGCCAGAGAGCAGCAAGTGTTGTCTTTAGCGCTCAGTAAAACACCAGAGGCATTCATGGGCTACTGAGCCCAGCGCTGTCAGGTTGTTTGGCTGGAACAATTATTAGCTAAATGTCAAAGGGAAGGGACCAGCTGGCATTTATTCCATAAACTTGATGTGATTGTGGATTTCTGTTTGGATGATTTTCTTTTTTTCCTCTCTCCACGGGAAGCAAAACTGGAGTTGGGTTGTTTTTTTGCTTTAATTGCTTGGGTTGTGGAACTCCATGGTTGTGGTCCTGGCAGGGAGGTGCTGGGTTGGGGTAGAGGAGATCAAGGCATGGGAATCTAAAGGCAGTTTGTTTTTCTCTGAAGTGATAACAGCTGATAAGGACCGAGGCTGTTGCCAGTACCTTCATCTTCAAAGGTGTGTGGAGGGGATGGTGCTGGGGTTGACACTGGAGATAGGGGAGCCTTGTGATGGTCCTCCACAATCTCTAATGGGAGGATGTTTGTCAAACAGAGAATGTTTTGCCACTTGAAAAGCTCACATGGACTGATGGTGTGCTGTGTGGACTTGCAAACAAGATCTGGGGTGGAGAGGTTGTGAGGAAAACTTGCCTTTTCTTGACGACAACTTGATTTTTTCCTGCAAAACCCCTGGACCGTTCACTTACACGTGAGACAGCTTCTGATGGTGTGGTATTTTTGTCTCCTCTCGCTTCCCTTTATCAAAGCTGCATTTCCCTGGGATTTGATATTCCCTGGAGCCACTCTGTGCTGCAGCACCTGGCTGGCACAGCAGGATGGGGTCAGGTTGGTTAAACAGAGAGTAGGGAGGTGGGTGCACACCTGATGTACCTTTAATGTCACCTTATAAAGCAGGAAGGGTTGTCTTCCAGTTCTGTGGGTTGCTCAGAATTTAAGGCCATTGTGCAATGATTTTTATTGTCAATTTTTATTCTAAAATTTAATTTTATGTGTCTTGCCTGCTGTACCATTGCACTGTATCTGTGTGACTGAGGTGATGAAGCCCAAGCCTTTTCTCACTGGATTTATCACTACCTAGGAATGCAGGGTCAGAGCAGAATGGATTCTTTGTAAGGCTGAGGAGAAGCATCCTGCTGGCACCTTGGGTTGTTTTTCCTTTTTGTTTTGATCTAAAAGACAATTGGAGGAGGAAAAAAACCTCTTGTACCACATGATCTCTGCTGCCTCTGCTCAATTAAGAGAACTCCCAGAGTTTGTCTAACCCACTTCCAAAGTCTCCAGGCTCAGTGGCAGCTCTGCCCTCTGTGCTCCCAGAGATCTTCAGCCTTTTTTATTTTCCTCTTGATCAGTTCAAGCTTCGTTTCAATGTGATTTATTTTGCTTTCTTTAACACTTGCATCCCCCAAGTACCTGTCCTACCACTGGCCTTTCTCAGCCCCACTCAGCTAATCCTCAGCTGAGCTCTCCATGTTCAGCTTTTAACTTTTCCTCTGAAGGTTTTTAGCAGGTTTGTTGCATTTTCTGACCTCCCACCACCTTCTCAAGGAGGTGTCCAGCCTGGCACCATCCCAGGGGTAGCAGAGGCTGCCCCAGACAGCAGCTGCAAAGAATCTTGGGGTTGATTTTTATTTTTAAATAGAACAATTTAGAGATCTGGCAGTTCCTTTCTGGAGTGAAGTCTGGATGGTGTCAAACTGCAGCGTTTTAGTGGCAGCCCCTCGTGGTGAATCCAGGCTTGCTTTTCCTGCTCCCCTCTGGCCTGTGGACACCCATGTGTGCTTTGGAAGGGCAACAAATCTGAAATATTTTGCTTGCTTTGACCAAGGGCCCAGTTTTTCCCCATGGAAATTCATGGCAGTGAATTTGTGGGTTTTGGGGGTTGGGGTGGGAGCCCTTTCCTCACCCCCACACAGGGCTAGGCTGGGCTCAGCCTCCCTCCTCCTCCTCACTCTTCAAAGGGCTTTTACCACCATTAATAACATGTCTGTGCTGCGGGAGCTCCAAGACAGGAGTTTTTCTCTCTCCCTCGGAGAGGAAAACGCTTCCAAGCCAACATATTTTGTGTAATTTTGGGTGAGGTGGATGCTGGTTTGCAAATTCCATTTTCAGCTCACTCGATTCACTTACAAATATCCCAAAGACTCCGAGGAAGAGATGATTTCTGTGCTCCTGGGTTTTTGCT